TGTGTGTTGGGGGGGGGGATCCAGTTTACATGGTTCGCAGGGCAGGCACAGAGGTAAGGCTGAGTTCTCGGTGACTGAACTGAAGGAACTACGAGGGCTAGGAAGGACCGAGCACGGGGCCTGGAGCCAGGAACTCTGAATATCACACGAGTCAACGCGGAGCCCATAAGCCAACTCAGGCAAGTCAGCTCCCCTCCTCTGCCCGTTTTTCCCATCCTTAAAATGGAGCTAAGGAGCTAAGAATTAACTGAGTGATTTTCTTTAGGCCTCTAAAAAGAAATGAGAAAGTGCAGACATGGCACTGTACTCTGCCTCTTCCCTCTTGGAGAGGCGTACAACTTGCACGCTGTTTTTATAAAGAGCTCTAAATGTGCTCTTAGTTGGCCCCTTGGCTCAGCATTTGCAAGTGGCCAAAGAGATGAGCGTCTCTGCTTGTAGGCTGGGATCTGCTGCTCAAAAGAGCACAGCCTGTAGCCATGCTCATATTTAGGCTTGTTTTGTTCTCCGTCACCCTCAACGCTGCCAGCTTTATGGCTCAGCCTGCAAGTTGCATGGAGGCTTTATCGTCCTTGTGCTCATATGTTCCAGGACCCTGGCCGTTGTTTGCACTTGACAAGACTGCCTTTACAAGACGGCTGTTATTGGCTACACTAAAGCCAGCAGATGATTGCAGCCTGGCACCGGTCCCCTGTAGAAGGTGCCTGTTGTAGTTTCTGTTGCTAAAGGACCAAATCCAGATGATCTCTCCAGCCTTTGCTGCAGACCTGGGGCGCTATCTCCTGGTTCCTGTCTCTGGTTTCTGAAGGGTAACCAGCTGTTTGTAAGCGAGGGCTTTGCTGCAGTGTGCTGTTTGCAAACTAACCTGAAAAGTGCCTTGTATGTGACCGTCATAAACTGCAGGCTGCTTGGAGCCAGCACTTTCCACTCACAAAGGCAACTGCTCTAGTCGTGCGGGTGCCAAATTCAAGTGTTCTGCTGCTAAGGGCTGGAGCCGTCTCATCCCATCCCCTGAGGCCTGATGGGAGTTCAAGACCTTAAGCTTGTGAACTTTCTCTTAATTATAGAAGGACCGAGAGGGGTTCAGCAGGGGGTTGCACTGCTGTTCTTTGACCCCTGCAGTAGCCAGTGATGGCAGTGACCCAGGGCCTGTTTATCCCACACTGGGGGCATGTCTTACACATGTGCTTTAATATGCATTAGCCTATTTTAATGCACATTAAAGTGTCACAAAAAAGTGTGCTCTTTAGTTAATGCTCATTAAAATAGGCTAATGTGCATTTTTCTAGTACCTCCTAATGGAGGTACTAGATTTAATGCGCGTTATCTAAAGTGCACTGATGAACATGTAGACGTGCCTTGGGTGATTATTAGCTTGCTGCTGTAGCTTGCTAGTAAGCGAATGCTTCTCTGTAGCCTGACCTGAGAGTGCAGCACAGCTGAACATTTTGCACCATTCACCCCTTGTCTACAGCTTTATCTCTGTTTTCCTCTATGCACCGATGTAGCTCAGTGAGTGAGAATAAATCCTCTTGTTACAGAGGGGCTGTGCCCTGCCATGGCTGGGAGTTACTACAATGGACAAAGCAAGTGGCTGGGGATGGTGAAGAAACCCCCACAGCTCTCTCAGCTCCATGCTGCATGCAGAGTTGGCAATGACAACTGGTAGCCTTTAGTCACGTGGTACCGGTTACTGCTGCCATGTCATATGTGGGGAATGCAGATTCTGGCATTGCCATGAGAGCCGGCAGACAGTCGCTTGGCTCCCATGCCCCTGGGGAGCTGAGCTGGGCAGAGAGCCCGGTGAAGGAAGATCAGTGTTCCCATCCGGTCACCCCAGCTGTGGAGCTCTGTACCCTTGATATGCATGTGTATGCCTGGGACTAACCAGGAAGGGGAGGAGATCTGTTTGATGGGAGCAGGACCCTGCTCTGGGCTGCATGCTCATGAGAGATTGGCTCCTTTTGAATATGAACGAGCTGAGGTCCTTCTAATATTGGAGAAATGTTCCTGCAACTTCGTACTGGGCAGGGGTGGGCGGTAGAGCAGCTCACAAAACTGATGTTCAGTTTAAGAATTGATTGTGTGCCATGAAACTCCCTGAAGGGTCTTGAGGGCAGAAAGGCTGGGAGAGGAAGTTTTAAAATATCTCCATTCTGCTGTGTAGGATGCGATTCTCTGAGCTTGGGTTGCTGAGGCTGAGTTGGGCTGGGCTGGGCTGGGCTATTTCAGCTTGGATTCCAATACATTCGTTGTCCTTTCAGTGGCTTTTTGCCCAATTTGTAACTAGACGTGGGTGGATCTGGACTTTGAAAAGGTGGGGGTTGCAGATGGTGAGGTGCATCATCACATATGAATTGACGCATATTTTTTCCGATTAAAAATAAACTAGAAGTTTGACGAATACACCGGGGGCCCGGGGCTATAGCGTTCAGTTTAAGATTGAAACAGAAACAAGTACAGCTTAATTGGAATGAATTAAAAACAGTCTGTAGGGCTGCGAAGTAGGAGCTTCATTTCCAGGAGCAGCGAGCAGACAGCAGAATTGCAGAACGGAGAATAGCTTGATTGGTGGAACATCAAGGCCATTAAAAAGGAGAGGGTCATTAACACCTCTGGAATGAAGGGATCAAGTAGATGATATAATGAGCCGTGAAGTTAAGCGACTCCCTCCGCGCTGTCTGCCTAGAAATGCTACCGCTACTGCCAGGCAGTTGGTTTTAAACTTTGGATGGAGCAGAAATCAAAGAGGGGTGCAAGTGCCCCGGTGCGCATGCCCCTCGGATCCACCCTCTAAGTAGATCTTTATTAAAACAAAACATGGAGTAACGAGGAACTCCCAGTTTAGCTTCTACAGTTTGGCTGCCTCGAGCACAGGACTCCTGGGCTTGAATGCAAGTTCTCGTTAGACGTCTGTACAGCACCCGGCTCACAGTGAGTCTGATCCTGATTGTGGTTTGAGGATGCTACAGCAATACGGATAAGTGGCAATAACTGGCTCCACCAGTCCTGGCTATTCAGTGACAGCAGACGCGCGTGGCCCTAGAGCTGAGCGCTCTCCAGATATAAGCGGGATGGAGACAGACAAGGAGCTTGCAATCAAAGCTTCTAAGGGAGCAAGCAATCGCTCTGCGTGGTTAGCTCCTGTACTGAGCTAATGAGTTTTGCAAAATAGCGTGTAACGAGGAGTCTCTTCACTGGAGAGGGGTGGGCTGCTTCCGTCCCCATGGAGACAAGTATTAGATCACGGCGAGACTGACCTTCCCCAAATCTCCTGCTCCCACTCAAATAAATTCAATTTTCTCTCTCCCTCCCTCCAGGGAGGCTGAGCAGAGCCAAACTTCCCCTGCCTGTTTGCGCCATGCGCTCACGTATAGAGGGCTGGCTGGTTAAGCAGTGGCTGCGCTGAATTGTTAAGCCTGGCTCAAAGGAATGGGTGATTAAAGCATCTCTTTATAAAATAAGAAGGCTGCTGAAATTAGTGGCCTGAAATCTGTCAGGTAGAAAGATGTCATGGAGCAGAGTGTGTGTCTGTGTGTACAGGAGGAGAGAGCCTTGGCTATGTTCATTTTGCCTGAATGAAAGGGCTCAGCAGTGTACTGCATGCACCAGAATTAACCCTTTGGGTGACCTGCTTTGTGTCTGCTCATTCAGACTCCCGGCTGGTAGCAGGCCCCGAGAACCCTGCTGGTGGGGAAAGCTCATGGTGGGATGTACCCTGGGCCAACCTGGGAGGGCAGGGCCTTTGGGGTTGGCTTGTAAGCTGCTTTGTGTCCAGCCCAAGCTGGTAAGAGATGGGCCCGCCCTGAAGAGATTCCTCTTGGAAATGAGACCGAGAACTGCAGGCGTAATTTTTCCAGTGGCTGTGCTGGGTGAGAGAAATTCGCTGCTCCACTGTGCTTTTTATTGCCGTGCCCCTTAAAGAAGGGATTGTTCTTATAAAGCTCCACTTCTCCTGTGCTCTGGCTCCTGGTGAGCGGCAGAGGGTTTCCACACAACACATTGCAAGCAGCCTCCCTTCTTTCTCCCCTGGGGGTGTTTGGGGATGGGTGTAGCTCAGGGGAGGGCTGCTCTGACACACCTGGTTTCTTGTCTAGCGACAGGTCTTGCAGATGTCGCACGCTTCCCCCATGTCTTCTCTCACTTTCTGTTCCTGCAGGGCTGCAACGTCATGGAGGATCAGGACCTCCGGGAGATCGGCATCAGTGACCCGCAGCACCGCAGGAAACTTCTCCAAGCAGCACGTTCCCTTCCCAAGGTTAATATCTTCCTACCAGTTGCTGCGAGCAGAGGTAGGGTGCTTCCTCTCTCTCTCAGCGTGGCTTGTGTGAGGAAGACGGTGGTGGAGGAAGCAAAGCAAACCATTCCAGCCATCTGGAGTAGGTTCTGGTCTGGGGCTGTTGGGAAGGATGGTGCTCACAAAAGGACTTGGGACCAGATCAGTAGAGCATCCTACACCAAGGACAAGGGAGAGCTGCTTTAGGAGCAGCGTGTGCATTTTAGGTATAGGTGTGTCAGCTCTCTCTACTCGGGTGACTGGCAACTACCTAAGGTACTGTCGGAAGGAGCTGGCTCATGGAACACTTCCGCTCCTTGGGACCACCACCCAGCTTCCATGGGGGTTTCTGAAGGGGCTGCGCAGGGGTGGGAAGGAGCTGCCCATTCACCAGGGGGATTCCACCTCCCTCTGGCCCTCTCTAGTAGCTAGAGATGTTGCTCTGTGCCTCCGTATCACATAAAACCAGCGAAACGTGCCCCTGCATCGTGAGCTGGCCGTAACAATTCGGGGCCCCTACTGCTGGGGATGCACAAGGGGTCTGTCCTTGCAGTCCTCCTCCAGAAGCACTGGCGTGGCTGTTGGTGTTCAGCAATGGCTACCTGGGCACCTTATCTGCCAAGTGCTGGCAGTTGCAGCATAAAGGCCCAAACAGTGGATGGGAGCCCAGAGACCCGCAGTACAGGTAGGGCAGGTGAACGCTGAGCTGCAAGTGCAGAGCAAAGGCTAATTGCTCTGGCGCTGTGATGTGAGTGGAACCGAGGGAGGAAACCCTGTCTTCAGTCTGCCTCCCCCCAACTTTTTCTTGCACTCAGCAAGCACCCAGTGTAACTGCACGTTGGCATTCCCAGCTTCAGCCAGAGGTCGTCTGCTCATTTGAGCAGGGTCACTGATGAACCAGCCTAACTCAAGTGCTGAAGCAAGGCAGTCATCCCCTGCATTTGATTTCTCAGGCCTCTTCCATGAGCCACTATGTTGAACTGGTCATCATCGTTATCTGTGCTGGTAGTGTGCAACTGAGGCTATTTAAGGTGGTTGGAACAGAGCTTCGGCAAGGCTGTGGTCAGCAGGGTGCTTCCCACCCACATGCGCACAAAGTAATTGTGTGTTAAATAGAGCAACTCTTAGCTTCGTTTGTCAGAGATGATCTGCTGGAGAATGAGGCTCTGGCCGTTCCTCATGGGAGTAGCTTTTCAGGCTGTGATCACTTGAGGGTGGATGCAGGGTACATCTCCACTGCAGTTGCTGCTGGGCCAGAGGATTGTGTGGATGTGTCTGAGCTCACTCAGAGCTGGCTGCCACCAGTACTTGCTGCCGTCTGGTCATGACAGCACAGAGCACATGAGGGCTATTGCTTAGTGTCTTTATTCCACTGCACAGGTGGATTTTGCAGCCCAGACGAGAAGTCTTGTGCAACCTCAGCTGCATTGCTAGTAGTGCCTGAGTTGCCTCATGTAGAGCTGGCCAGTATTTCTGCACAAACTGCAGTCATAGAAGTGTGCCCACAGCCCTACGTAGCTGCCTGAGAGCTAGGTACTTACCATGAAAGGTTGCTATTAAATACCAATCTTTCTGTAATTATATAGGGTTTTAATTGCAGCCACTCAGATTTAGCCTCCAAGCTGTTTGGGGTTCCCCAAGGCTTTTAACCCCTTCTTCATGCGTGCATTTTGCAGGTAAAACCTCTGGGTTGCGATGGGAACAGCCAGCCGTCAGTTCCTGCCTGGCTTGACTCTTTGGGGCTTCAGGACTACATCCAGTCCTTCCTGTCGAGTGGCTACAGCTCTATTGACACTGTGAAAAACCTCTGGGAGCTGGAGTTGGTGAACGTGAGTCTCACTTTTCCCTTGTGTGTGCTGTTAAACCTCAACTGAGTTCCCTTCAGGCAGGTGTGTCTCCCACGAGGGTGGTAGCTCCAGTGCACCAGTCCTGTTCTGATACCAAGTCACATGCTTTGCTTTCCCAGAAGAGCAAGAGCCATGAGTCTGATGAGGGATCAGATGGGTCACCCCTACAGAGCTTGATGAAGGCTGCCCCCCCATACTTGAGCAGTTTGCCATCACAGACTAGTAAAATGTGTGATGAAATGGCAGGGGCGGTTCTGTTGCCAGCACATGAGGCTTTTGTGCATTGTGTCACTGTTTCCTAGTCATCTCTGCCAACTAGTGAGACTGGGAAGAGCCCAGATCCTGTAGCTCCAGTATGGCTGGAGGGCTGGGAGATGAGCAACAGTGGCCAGACCAGTGGCAGAGGCTGCTTTTCAAAGCTGTCAGGAGGGGTTCAGGGATCATGTGGTGTTACCTGTCCTTCGGTGTGCACTCTGCTGATGCTTGGAGCACTACTTGGGCCCTTCTGCAGGAGCACATGTTCTTAGAGATTCATGGTTCATTGTGACTGAGGGGCATCAGTCATAATGTACCAACCAGTTTCTTTCCCTGCTCTGTCAGTCTGTGCAGAACCCTTTGTTTAAGTAAGAACCTTTGTGTTCATCTAACTAAAATGCAGGCAAGCCCCTGCAAATATGTTTAAGGCTTCCACCGGGCGGAAGGACACATCGGGTGTGTCAGGCAGGACACATGCTTGTATGTGGGATACCAAGCAGCACAGTCTAGCAGCTTCAGCTTGGGGCTGGGCACCAGCAGTTCCCCCATGGGCTCGTGCTGGCTGTGACACCACCACTTAACCTCTCTGCTCTGTGGTGTCCTCAGCTGAGCTTGTGCCAGCCCACCCCCGAAGAGGTTTCGGGGCTTGGTTGTTGAGAGCATACGAAGACAGCAGTGTACAAAGGCAGAGCTGTTCTGTATGTGCACTGAGTTAGCACTAAGAGCGTGGAGTTATTTCCCACTGCACCCGATGCCCACGCTCTGCTGTGAAGCTGGCCCATTGCTGACCTGCCCAACTGTGGTGCTGAAGGGTGTCGGCAGACAAGGTGTCTAGGAGACCCCTGCTGGCGAGGCAGTTCCTGCTTTAGCCTGAAGTGGAGGCTGTGAAACCTCAACATAGAAGGTGGAGACACGTGTGATGCATCTGGGGAGGGCAGCTGGAAATCGTTCCCGCCTTCCTTGAGCTGAGCTCACCTCCCCCTCTCTCTGCAGGTGCTGAAAGTAAATCTGCTTGGCCATCGGAAAAGGATCATCGCCTCTCTGGCGGACAGGCCTTATGAGGAGCCGCCACAGAAACCACCACGCTTCTCGCAGCTGAGAGTGAGTCGCTGTTTGTATTTGCCGGCTACTGCCTGACTGATGCATCTGCACTGAGCACTATCAGCAGCTGCCAAGATACTTTCTTCTTCTCCCCTTCCTTTTCACTTCTCTCTCTCCCTCCCTCCCTCCTGCCCCCCTTCTTTCAAGGTACTGAACACAAATGTGTGTCAGAAATGAGCTTTCCCCTTTCTATGAGCAACAAAACCCTTCTGGGGATTTTGGAACCCCTGAAACACATTTGCTGAGCTTGGGTACTTCAGAACATCTCCAGATGGGCTGCTAAGTAGAGGTGGGAGTGTGAGGACACTCTCTTGCCATGCTTCTGTCAAAGACTTAGTTGCACACATGCGCTCTCCCCACTTCTCTCAAGTACTAGCATTTTGCCCAGCCCCGTCAACAAAAAGTTGCTGTTAAAGCAGCCTTCCTTGGTCAGTATTTTATGAGTTCACTCTTTAAGTCTGTATTGTAGGTTTTGAATGCCCAGGGCAGTTTCTAAGGAGGGCATCCATTTGGGGTTTGTTTTTTTTTTTAATTCATCAGGGCTTAAAACCCAACTACTTTGTTTCAGAATAAAAAGCTAAGCTTCTTGCCATGAGCTCTGACCAGCAGGAGACACTTGGGCAAGGGCTCCAGGTTAGTTTTGTCTCTCAGGTGTTCCTTCACTTGTCCATCCTGGATGTGTTTGTCAGTTGCTTTGGGGCCAAGTTTGGCCCTTGCAGGTGGACTGTAAAACAGCAGCATGTGGTGTTGCATGAGGGTGAGGGCGTATTTGGGGCAAGCCCCATTATTCTCAACGGATGCCCTTGGGTGTTCCTAGAGAGCATCAGGGACCAAGTATTCCCCCTTGGAACTCGCTGAAACTTAGCAGACCTGGATCTGAGCTGCTGTAAGAGGTGCTGGTCACAGTGATGGGCCCCAGCCCCCCGTTCTTCTGTCCTCCTGGCCTGTATCAGAATAGCCCAGCGCAGGGAAAAATTGGCTTTCCGGCACAGGCCTTGGCCCCAGCCAGAGCACTGGAAGGGAACCCAGCCCAGGAGGTGTGTCCTCTGCTGTGGGTTCCAGTAGATGCTTGCCCTGTTCTCCGAGTAGGCCCCACAAATGGCCACTGTTCAGATGTTTCTTTAGATGAGCATGTCCCAAGTGACTGAGTGGTGATGTCAGGGCTTACAAGTTGGTCCTTTTAGTTTTTCCATGTGGGTGAGGAGCTGACAGGGAAGCTCATCATGTCACATCCCCCTGCTCTCCACTGCACAAAGCACTGATGCCTAGTTAGTGTGTGTTCAACAACACGGGGTCCGGTCCGCGTGTCTCCTCGGCCCCTTTTGAGATTTGGTCTGGATGGAGTGAGGCCCATCAAATTTAAGCAGAGCGCTGGAGGCAGGAGGGATGTTGCCCTGACATGCTGCGTTGCTGCATCTTTGGTGTTGCAAAGCAGAATTCCTGTAGCATATATCAGGAGTGGGTGGAAGCACTGCCCTCCTGTAAAAGCAAGCCTGTTGCCAGTTGCTATCTTGCAAGCTTCGCTTGAAGCCTGGGGACAGTGTCTCAGCCATTGTTCTGCTCCTTGCTTCAGCTGCAGATCCCTTTTCTTGGCCCTGAATGCCAAGAGCTTTTAAAAAAAAAAAAATCAGATAACGTTATCTCCAGGGAAACAGACTCCCTACAGCCTCATCTTTTGCTCTCATGGAGTCAGCCAGCTTTCCCTCTCCTTCTGCAAGATGG